GGCTCTTGTTTGTACTTATCTGTTGAGAAAAGGGATCATCTGAGGGGAAAAGGACAGACAAAAATTCACAGGGAGGTAGCAGCCTCCCTTCATAGCCTTCCTTTTCCTGCTATGTATATTTCTAGAAGGAAGACCGTGCTCAGTTACCATAACAACAGTTGGAACATTTGTTTTTCTTTACAACACATAGGGGTTCATGTTTAAATTTACTTGCTGGTATGTACACCACGTGCATGCCCGGTGCCTGTAGAGGTGGCTAGAGAGCTTTGGATCCCATGGAACTGGCATTACAGATGGTTATGAACACTCTTGTGTCTGGGAATCAAACCTAGGTTTCCTGGAAGAGCAACCAGTGCTCTTAATTGCTGAGCCATCTCTGCAGCTCCAGTAGTTGGGTTTTTAAATGTATTCTGCTTCTTGATATTAAACTTTAATATTCTGCTAGCCAGTAAGGTTAATAATTAAATATCTATTATGGGGGGTATGTTGTTTAACTAAAGGGAAAGAACAAACAGAATAAAACGAGTGATATAGTTTTTGAAAACTGAGCAAGGGCTGTGATCCTAGGACTCTGTATCCTTTGTCATTGCAACCTGCCATTGGGTATACATTTTATATGATCATAAAGATTCTCAGACATACACCCACCACTGACAAAAGCCGTGTAGATAGAGAACAGTGGAGGCAGAGAAGCCAAACTACATGGTAGCATAGGGATTTTGGGGGAGAATGAATCATCAGGAGATGAAAGGACAATCCCTGCCTAGATGAGGGAAATCTACTAAGTCCTCCATGGATCGACACTGTCAGGATCATATGAGTACTTGTTTTAAATGCAGAGTCTCAAGCCCCAGTTCAGACCTACTGGATTAAAATAAGCCTCTCTTCATCCTTTTATTCATATCCAAGCACATCTTTAGATATTGGAAGCACTATGTGCCCCACTTATTGGTAAATCAAAAGAACCAATATGTATTTGGTGCTGCTTCCAGCATGCCTTGAGAATTGAAAGCTAATTTGTTAGATACCACAGGAGTGCTATTCCATGGCCTAGAAATATTTGTAGCTAAGCATCATCTCCTAGCTTAATATTGGGATTTCAGGATGAAGAGTGGAGGCAACTGGGAATTAGGACTTTTGGTGGGAAGCGAGGCATAAAGTAGAGGGAGAATAGAGAATGGAGTTCCTGGTAGAGCCACTCCCAAATGACTTTTCTTGGCTGTATTTACAACAATCTGCTGCCAGCTCTATTTCAATTTGTTTTTTGGCTATTCTTCTAGTCCCCATCTCCCTTTGTTATTAATTTTTGAGGTTTATAGCTTTTTCTCATAACTCTATCCTCTGAGACAAATTTCTTGGTTTCTATAATTTCTTCTAACTCCAAGCAAAGACTTTCTATCTCTCTTTTCCTCTGACTTCTCTTGAAATTCCAAGTTATTTTTGAATACAACTGACTACCCTCCCTCTACATTTAACACATTCAAAGGTATATTTTCATCAACTTTTCTCTTTTAAAATCTTTATTGTTTCCTAATAATTCTTATGCTTTAAAAGCCATTCTTAGGTTGGATATCCTCTCTTCAACGTTGACCTCATTTCTTTCAAACTAAATTAAAATCTCTTCATATAACTCCACTTTATTTAACCTCACTCTTTAGTCTCAAATACCCAGCTATTTTCCCCAGCATACATTCCTATCTTATCCTTTAAATTATACTCCAGTGCTCCATAAAACCTTTGTGGATCCCAACAACTATGCATAATACCTCCTACCCATGAAGCCTTCTAGGCTATTAAATCCAAGGCTTTCTAGGCATTGTGTATCCATCATGCTAATCCACCCTTTCTGTAATCTTGTCTTTTGAAGCAAACATTATCCTGTTTCATAGATGAAGAAACTGAAGTTCAGTGCTGCATAGCTGGAGTCTCTTGCATTTGGCTTTTGTAAAATTGTACTCCTAAGTATCCCTTTTGCATGCTGACAGCACCATTTTGGTTTGTCCCTTTGACTATTCCATTTTTCACCTCATATCTCTACTATTTTCTAAAGTAGCAAAATCCAGAATCAAAGGTAGGGTTTCATGTTGTTTGAAAGGCTTTTTGATATTTAAGTATGAATAACCACAGTGAACAGATCTGTGCACACAGCAGGTCATTGAATGCATGCTGGATGAAAAAAGAATGTGTAAGCACACATAAATGCATGAAAACCTTGTAGCAAATTAAAATTTAATTGTGTACAGAAAAGGAATACATATAAATTAACTTACTTTTATTCAAATGCCCAAAAGGTAGGAGAAGAGCATTCTTTTACTCGGACAGGTATTTATAGTAAACGAGCATAGGAACCACATATAGTTTCAAGCCCCTCTGGATTCATTATGTTCATGACACCTCTGCATACACAACAGCCAGTTCTTGGCTCAGTGTTTTATAACTCATGCAGCAAGTAGGAGTGTAGAACCACATAGCATAGCTTATGAGTTAAAAGTAGATTCTCTAGAGAAAGGCTATATCTGCATTTGAATTTTGTTTTCATAGATGGTGTCCTGAACAGAGGGTTGGTATTCAAAGCTAACAAACTGTAGACATTCAATCAGAATCTGGGAATATAGTTCAAACCATAAACTCATGGTCCTAGGCTTGGTCTATTTGGGCTTATTGTGCTAATTTAACAACTCTCATTTGGGACTTATCTTTAGTCCTTATCTATAAATATTTATTTTATTGACACTGCTTTTCACACCCCTTTGACAGAATACTTGACAGAAACAAAGTAAGGGAAAATTTATTTTGGTTCATGTTTTTTAAGGATATAGTCTTATCTTGGCAAGAAAGGCATAGAGACTGGGTTGGCTCTTTCTAGAGCAGCAGAAGTATGTAGCAGTTTGTTCATGTCTTGGCAGGCAGATAAGTACATGGAGGGCTTGGGTTGTCATTAGAAGTGTGTTTAATTTTCAAGGTCTGCCTCTAGTGACCTACATCTTCTATCTAGGTCTAATGTCCCACAAATTCCTCTAAAAAAGCATCACAAACTCAAATAACGTTTTAAAACACATAAACCTGTGTGGAGCATACTACATTCAAACCATAACAACCATTGACTAGCAATTCTCTTTCTCCATTGAGACCAGAACTAGTAGAAATCCATTATTTTTCTTTGGAAGAAAGCAAGATCAACCTAAAAATGAATCTCATCAGAGAGGAGATTAACAACTCCTTCCTCAGTGTTCTTTAAGACTATGTATTTTTATGATAGCATTCTATAAGTTCAGTATAAGTAAGCCCATATTAGTGGCACGGTTTGATGGTTCTGAGGTCTAACGACATGTTTCTGTAATTTATTCATTGTTACTGTCTGAAAAACAAGTTTACTTCACTGAACCTCGATTTTCTCATCTTCAAAACATGGCCAGTAGTGAAACACAGCTCATTTAGTACAGACTGTGCAATATGGGTGGTGAGAAATCCTTTTGTGAATAGTAAAGCACAAATTATTTGAAATAAAAGGTCCTGCTGGAGATTTCCACACTGAGGCTTCCTGTGCCTGGCTTTCTGTGGTGAGCATACAGGTTAGAACCCCGAGCAAAGAAGTATGTCTTCAGCAAAGCCTAGGGGATTTGCACACCTTAACCAAGTCAGAAGTGCAGATGTGTTCATATGTGTGTAATGTTCTTCTGCATGTTCATTTCCAGACTGGAATGTAGCATTCATTCTCTGGACAATGCTATATGACAGGCCTGTTGGAGAGGGTAAATATTCTACAAGTGACAGTTTCTGTTGTCTTTGAAATGTTTTCTCCTTGGCCTTATGGAACTATGATTTCCTTAGTCAGATGTTTCTTCTTCAAATATTCTCATGGAAAAACTTATTTATAGAGGACACGTTCAGTCATTTAGTATGGAGAGAGTGTGATTGAGGTTTTTTGCCAGGCAGGCCATATGTTATTTAATTCCAAAATGTGCCTCTACACATGCTGGGAAGACCAATAGTTACAAGGTAGAAGAATTCAGTGAAAAATGAATATATAACAGTGGTCAGGAGCTAGAGAAAGACGGTCTAACTCCCACTCCATCCTGATTTATAAATGAATGTCATGACTATATGTGTTTTTGTTCATGTAAATGTGGTAATGGAATAGATGTTTTCTTTTTGTTGTATGGCACCTAGTCCTGGTTTGTATGAAATTTAGTGGCCCAGGTTAAGATCAAGGACTCTGCCTTACTGAGTGATCTTTAGTTTCTGACCTCATTTCTTTATTAATGTTATATTTTTTAATCTAGTAAATGAAGCCAACACAAACTCCCTAGCTATGCCACAGGCCAGCTGAAGAATTATTTTGTACGTCTAAGCCAGATTTTAGTTTATCATGCACAGCACATCATAGGAAGCCATACTCAGTCACATTCACGATTTATCTAAATGAAGTCAAGCATGGGTGAGGGTAGGAACTATAAGACTGGTGTCTGTTGTATGTGAAGAATGCCATATTCTCTTAGCACATGGGAAGGCATATAGTAGAGTTAAATAATGTACTACTAATTCTCAATTGGTCAGTTTCAAGGAGGAGAGGACAGGTAAAGGAACACAAAGAACTGAAAACAAGTATGCCTGCATTTCATTTTAGTCATTGATACTAGACTTTTTACTTTAAAGATCCAGGGCTTCTTAAAAGCACCGAGAAGAGATAGAATAGAGCTTTGGCTATTTGTTTGTTTTCACTTTGGGAAGAGAAGTTCATGAAAATAGATGAAAGCATGATGCTTTGCCCATATGCGCTTGCTGAGTCTTTCCATGCACTGGCTAACAGAGAAATGAAAGCATTGTTTGTCTTATAGTCTGGTATAGCTTGCATGATGGTGTCATTTCCCCTTACTGCCACATCTCACCACTGGAACATGTAAACTTTTCCATTAAAAGTAGAGCATTTTGGGTGAGGGAATGCTTAAGTAGACTAGTCAGATGTATGGACTGAACACATTCTCATTTTGTCTCCTAAGCTGATCACTGGAGATTCCATCGTTAGTGCTGAGGCAGTATGGGATCACGTCACCATGGCCAACCGGGAGTTGGCATTTAAGGCTGGCGACGTCATCAAAGTCTTGGATGCTTCCAACAAGGATTGGTGGTGGGGCCAGATCGACGATGAGGAGGGATGGTTTCCTGCCAGCTTTGTGAGGGTGAGTGTCAACCTTCACTCTGCTCTTCTCTTATTAGCTGCCTTACTCTGGCTTTCCCTAAACGCACTCTTGTTCTACTCATTCCTCTCTTGGTGGGTTTTCTTTTGTCTTTCTCTTTATCCCTCTTTGTCTCTTCTTCTCCCTCTTTTACTTCACTTCTTCCGCTTAATTCTATGCCTTTCTAATTTTTAGACCTTTCTTTTATCTCTTGTTTATTTTGGTTTCATTCTCTGCTGCTCACTGTTTTATAAATCACTTCCTTTGTTTGATCTTTTTCTGTCTAGATTTGACTTGAATGGTTTTGAAGCTCCCCCAACCTCTATGTAGCTGTGATTTTTGCCTTCCTTTTCCTTTTTTTACTATTTACTGTCTTTATTTTCTATATCCCCGTTTTGTGATAGTTTCTTATTCCAGATACTTCTTATCTCTTCCACTCTTCATTTTTGTTCTATTCTCTTCTCTTTTCCTTACATCAGCTATACTTCTTTCCCCTTTCTTTGTTTCTCTCCTTGAAAGAAGTATGAACACCATTATGTATTGTTATAACCTTCAACTGTTAATGTCAGAATATATACTCCTCTTCTCTAAGGGCAGAAGCTTACTAATTGCAGGTCTTACTTCTTATAACAAAGTCAAATGGCTGGGATCTAAGACATGCTATGTATGGTAACAGGTAGCCTGTAAAGGTTTGGAAGGCTTTGGGTTATTTGCTGTTTTACCATGAAGAACATGCACATTATAATGGTACTCTGTGAGGCCTCTGTTTCCAGGAGGTCACCTTTTAGCAGGTTGCTGTGGGGTATTATCTCGGACACTATCAACTTATAAATCACTGTTAACTGTCTCCTTCTATACTGAGTGTTTTCTAATAAAATATCTAGTCCTTTATTCTCTGTTTATGTGGCTTGTTTTGTTAATGCCTTGAAATGTTGTCTGTTTCCCAATCCAGCTTTACTGTTTGATGATTCAGTCCCTAAAGTATTGAGAATAAACCCATCAATAACCACAAGACTTAAGAACTAATATGAATCCCTATGCACGTAGAGCTTATGCCTCTTGTGCTGTCTAACCTCTCTTTTTAAAAGAATGATTAAACTATACTCAAATATTAATATGTTTTCTTTTTAGAGAGATAGACCATGGGATGAGAAGGAACATTGAACAAATCAGGATGGCTTGGGGAAGTGAATGGCTGGGTCACAATTGAGAATAACCATGAACAAGAACTGATGGTTTTAAGCTCAATGCTAAAAGGAATGGTACTTCAGGCACATATCCCCAGTAGCCATTTTGTGAAGAATCACAAAGAACCAGATTAATAAAACCCAGAATCCAAATTAAACCCGTCCCCCTCATTTATGGTCTAATCTTCTGTAGATACAGTTTTCCAAAGAAGACATGAAAATAAATGGTCAATAAATAATCTTTCCAAATGTTCAACATTCTCAACCATCAGGAAAATGTAAGTCATTAGTAAAACTACTTTAAAATAACATCTCACCCCAGTCAGAATGGCTAACATCACACACACACACACACACACACACACACACACACACACACACACACCACCACCACCACCACCACCACCACCACCACCACCACTACCACCACCACCACCACTAACACCAACAACAACAAACCTTGAAAAATGCTGGTAAGAATGTGAGAAAGAGGAAGTCTATGATGAATAGGAGTATAAACTTGTATAGTCCCTATGGAAATGAATATTAATGTTTGTTAGCAATGAAAAATAGAACTATTACCTAATTCTGGATATATACCTGTATTAATTAGTTTTCATGGCTGTGTTCGAATACCTGACAAGAAGGAACTTAATTAAGAGTTGGTTCATTTTGGGGTATATAATCCATCATGACAGGAAAGGTATATGTTATCATTTGCTTAAAACACCAGACTAAAATACATTATGGAATTACTCCATCTTATATGTTTTAAGCCATCATTGAGGGAAACCAGGGCAATAACTCATGGGAGGAACCTGGAGGAAAGAACTGAAGAAACAGACATCGTGAAGGAATGCTTTTTACTGGCTCACTCAGCTTGCCTTCCTATGCAACTCAGGCCCAAAGACCTAGTGATGGCACTACCCCCATTGACTGGTGCCCCTCCAGCATCAGACCTCACAGACAAGGCACAGCCCTATCTGATCTGGGAAATTCTTAAGTTGAGATTTCGTCTTCCTTGATGACTCTAGGTCTGTTTTACTTGAAAACTGAAGCTAACTGTGGCAGCATGGCAACAGAAACACAAGACAGCTGTTGTCCCCAGTCAGGAAGCAGAGAAAGATTAATACTGATGCTAAGTTAATTTTCTCTTTTTTATTCAGCCCAAGAGCCTAGCCTATGTCATGGTGCCACTTACATTCAGGGTGAGTGTCCTCTCCACAGATAAACTTTTCTGAAGACATCCTAATATACATTTCCCAAAGTATATTCTTAGAGGGCGATTAGTCACCATAATACCCAAAGTAGTTTCAATTCTACCACAAAGATATGTGGACATCCACCTTACTATTGTGCTTCACTACTCATAATAGCTTCAAAAAATAGAACCAGTCTTAATGTCTATCAACTGATGAATTCGTAAAGAAAATGGGAAGAAAGCATACACAGAATGAGATTTTATTTAACTGAAATAAGAGTGAAATCTGCAGGAAAATGGATGGAACTAGAAAACATTATGTTAAGTAAAATAAACCATACTCACATACATGGGAACGTATGTAATTCATGAAACTAGAAAAAGGACGATGGGAGAGGAAGAAGAGCTCTTAATGGAGCTATGAAAAAAAGACAGTAGAATACATATGACATGAAATCAGAAGGGTATATATTATAGCAAGAGGATGAGCAGGAGGATTCATAGGGTAGGAGAGAGACTTGAGGCAGGAGTGAATATAAGAATAAAGTATGTATGAAAATGCTATAATGATACCTGTTACTTTGTATGCTAAATGAAAGAAACAACTGTAGAAAGAGGGGATTGCCCCACTAAAATTCAAGCTAGCTTAGTAAGACTCTTTAAAAAGAAGGTAATTAGAATATTAAAAGAAAAGAAACACCAAGATCAGTGGTTCTTTACCTGTGGGTTGTGACCCCTTTGGAGGTTGTAAATCAGGTATTTACATCACAATTTGTAACAGTAGCAAAATTACAGTTATGAAGTAGCAATAAAAATAATTTTATGGTTGGGGTCACCACAGCATGAGGAACTGTATTAGTCACAGTATTAGGAAGATTGAGAATCACTGCTCTAGATTCTTCTGTGTTGTAGGTAGTTTGTAAAAATGTTGGTTATGTTTTTACTAGAAAATATACAATGTAATAAAAGACACAGATGTATTTGAAGTTTTCTAATAGTCACAAGAAAAAGTAAAAAGTTAAAAGTGATATTAAATTTCATATATTCCAGTTTATTCAAAATATTCTAGAATATCATATAATATCACGATAAAATTAATAATGATATTTTGTCATGCTTTTTGAAATAGGGTATGTATTGTATATGTTGGACATATCTCAATTCACATTAGTCAGATGTGAGAAATTACTACTTTCTCAATATAGCATTCCAGGAAATTGCTCACTCACAAGACTACTTTAAAAGTACTAATGCTATATATATTGCAGAATAGTTGCCCAATTCATTGGAACTCACTAAAATCTGAGACTCAGTAATATTTTATGAATGGATTCCTAGGTTAAACAGCATATAATAAAAAGAAAGTATAGTAAGAAAGAAGTTCCTTCAAACACCATATCAAATGGATACTATTGTACATCATCATGTGAAACTGATAACTGACATAGTGAGAAATCTCCATTCCCTACCTAGATATCTCATTTTTTTGTGAACACCAAGTCCTAGGATGAATAATCAAAGGTATTTTGTGTGATTCTGTTCAAGCTAGACACTTGTTAGCATGTTTTAAAAAAAGGGTGGAGAGTCTGAGAAACCAAAATTTTTGCCTCAGTCCTGCCATTAGATGAACAACTTAATTATCTTCCTATGCATCTTTAAAGTTCAGACTTCCTTCTTGTAAACTGAGCATAATGTTCCTTGTGAAATGCTTTCTAAGTTGTGATATTCTAGGTACATGAAAACAGAAACTATGTGCCATTAAATTCTGGAAGAAGTTATTAGATATATGTCTTCTCTCCAGTCAAGTCTATCTCCCTCATTATTTAGAATCTTATTCTTGTATGTATCTGTTCTTGGTTTCATTTCTTTATGTAATGAGAATGTGGCTTCTAGGAGCAACACAGCAGTAAATGTACCTTCTTATCCGTTGGTCAGGTTAAGTGAATCGGATCATGCTGAATATCACTGCCCATATCTAGCTAAAGAAATCTTTCCCTGCTTTCCTGGGCTTGTTTCCCTGGCAGCTGAAAACAATCTGCTGGCACATGATTGTGTTTCTTAGTAACCCATGGTAGGATTTTTTTTCCCTGCTAGGAACCAATTTGAAGTCATTCAGTCTGTTTTCCTTTGATGCTGTGCAGAAAAGGAGCCTTTGTCCTGACACTGGGCCATGGCCTGGGGAGAACATATGTTACGGCAGTTTTTGTATAGGGTTAACAAAACGCCTTGTTATTAATGAATGGTGAGGGCTGTGTCACAAGGCACAGATTTGTTCAAAAAGTAAATAGTTGGCCAGCAAGGTGATTCAGCTGGTAAAGGCACTTACTGCAATGCATAGTGACCTGAGTTGGATCTCTGGAACCCACAAGGCGAAAGGAGATAAATAACTTTGACATTCGCAACTTGTTCTCTGTCCTCCATACACATGCATGTGTACTGCCCCAAACTCACTCCCCAATGAATATATTTTTAAGTTGTATAAATTTCCTCCTTTTATTGTTTGTTGTGCTTATTTTTAGTTCTAGATTTCTTTTGGTATCTCACTTTCCTGAAGGTTGGACATAAAAGGATTATATGAGGCTGGGAAGATGACTCAGTAACATGCCTGCTGTGCA